GTACATGGCTGGCGCCTTAGCCGGTTGAGCTATAGGCGCCGAGCCAGGCTGTAGTACATTAATGAGATCTTCCATGAGTGTGGGAAGGAATAGTGAATTTTCCTGCCCTGTCCTAGCATCTTCCCTAACCTTATTCCCATACCTTTCCCAACTCTCATCCTTTCTAGCACTCTCCGAATCAGAGCAGCGCCTTTCTGAGCTACAACAATTAATAAGATCAATGCCAAAGCCCAACCATGACACTCTGCGGTACCTCCTGGCGCATTTATGCAGGTCAGGAAGACTGAGCATCTTTGTCCTGTTGGGGGAGGATGGGGGAGGCATGCAGCAGGGACTCTGTTTAGGTGGGGTAAAGGTAAGGAGGCACCTAAGTTTAGTGGGCAGTAGAGACAGGCAACATCTGTGCAGGAGGTATGTTACCAAGGTCAGGGTCTTTGGATAGGTCAACATCAGATGGACAAATGGAGACAAGACAAGCCCAAGGATGCCATGAGAGAAATAAGGGAAATCTTATCTCTCCCTTCCCTCTGCCTCTTTGTCTCCCACTGGGGCGGTGGTGATGGCTTGCTTGGCTGAGGCTAGGCCTGGGCAGTGACTGCTGAGAGGGGATGGCCATTTAAATTAAAGCTTCCCAAACTGTGAACAGAGATGACTCTTGGGACAGTCCCCTGAAGCTGTATAGAGGCAGTAGTATCCTAGTTGTAGCTTCAAGTTGTATCCTGAAGGTTTCTCCACTGTTCCATCTCCATTCTGCCTAGGTTCTCTCCTTGGTTTCTTTTAAACACCACATGGAGGGATCCTGAGTTAGCTCCTCTCTGCTCTAATCTGTGAAGGGTTAGATTGATTTGAAGCCCTGAACTTTCTGTCTTATATCTCCCTCCCTTGGCTTTTGCCCACAGGGTAATAGCACACTCAGATAAGAATCGCATGACTCCCCACAACCTGGGAATTGTATTTGGACCAACCCTATTTCGGCCAGAGCAGGAGACATCCGACCCAGCAGCCCACGCCCTCTACCCTGGGGAGCTAGTCCAGCTGATGCTCACTAACTTCACCAGCCTTTTTCCCTGACATGGGCAAGGAAGAAAAGAAAATGTATTTCCAATGATCTCTGGTGGTGATGTTGTGTTGTTTTGAGGGCATACCCTTAAAGCTGGTATCTCCCAATGGCCTGGGATGGGGTAAGGTAGCTTCTCTAAAGATGAAAGTGAGTGGATTAACTTCTGCTTCACTATTATCACTCCTCCCCAAGACAGTAACACGTAAAACAGCATTCTTTCTGATGCAGTTCCTTTATTATCAGGAAACAGTGTCATTATCAAATTTCTCCCCCAAACATGTACAGACCACTATATACAGCCCTCAGCCCATACCTCTCATCCCTGGGGTATCTTGTTCAGGGAGCTACAGCTCCTTTCCCTGACTTCTCTGATGGGACGGAAGCCCTTTAGGAAAAGCAGACCTGTGACAGACAAGTTTCCCACTCTCTAGGCACTAGAGTTGAGGAATTGTGTCTCCCCAGGCAGCGATCTCAGTAAGACACTCATGTTGCCCACGGCCATGTTGGGGGGCCCAGAGGGAGATGGGGTGTGTTCAGAGCTGCCCCCCTGATCCTGGGAATGGGGAGGACTCAGCCCCTGGGCCTCATCCAAAATAGCTACAAAGTCCAGCTGAGTGTTGTCAAGATCAAGAGAGTCCAAAGGATTACATACCTGCCCTTCAGGAGGGGGATACAAGGCAGGACCACCTCCTGACCTGCCCACTTCAGGATGGCCACAACTGGGGTTGGTGCCCCCCATCTTGAGGGGCCCATAACAAGTAGGCAGTGGAGGCAGAAGTCGGGGTGGTGCTGCTGCCCTGTGGGAGGCCCTATATGCCCCCACCACAAAATTGTCATGGCATGGAGAAGGGGTGGAGTAGGAGCCTGATTTGTGACTGGGCAAGTTGGGTGCAAAGCCAGGTCCATATGTTGGGACTGGGGCTTTAGCAGGGTTTGGGCTAACCTGGGAACCCCCCAGAAACTTGGGACTCTGGTAGGGAGGTTCTTGGACTGGGACATCTCCCCTGCCCCCACCCTCCCACAGCAGCTCCTGTTGAGACTGAACATAATTACACACAAGCTGAGCCTTGAGTTGTCCTGCAGACTGGGCCGGGGAATCAAAGTCGAGGCCAGGCCTGGGTTCTGAAGGAAGATAATTGGGGGGTGGCTCGGCATAGGGACCTGCCTGGGGATACTGGGGAGGAGGGAGCTGGGGGTAGTGGGAGAATAGAGGCTGTGGGCGAGGAGGCCCCTCACTGGGATGGGCATTGAGGCAGGGTGCCAGTCCTGTGGAGTCAGACCCCACTGGGCACCCCTGTTCCGGCTTGACCTGCACTTGTCCATAATGTTCAAGTCGAGGACTCTGGCTGTAGGCACCACCTAGAGCCTTAGGGCCTGAGTATAGCCCAGAGTGGGAAGGGAACTCACTCCATGTTTCTGGTGGGAGGTCAGGATATGAGATCTGCTGGGGACAGGGATTGGGGCTATAGTTGGGGGGTGGACCAGGCCCAAGAGGCAGGGAGCCTGGACCCCTAGCTCCATAAGGTTCAGCTGCTACCCCCTCAGGTCCTCCATATCCCAGAGTATCAGCAGGTGGGAAGTCCATATAGGGGTTCAGATTATTGCCCATCATGGAGGTCACAACCTCTGGCTCCTCCCTTAGCCCTCTAGTATCCATGGCAACATTCTCAGTGATGCAGGGGGGCTGTGGTGAGTAGACAGAGGTTGGGATGTGGGAGTCAAAGTTCCGTCCTCCCTCTGCCACAGTGGGGGTAGTGTGGACACAGCCCAGGCTCTTGAACCGCTGGACTCTGGCTGGAGCAGGGTGGTCAGCAGCCCGGGCTGGGTCACTGGCCCTCCGGGTGACCCCTGCATTGGGGTTATAGCCTGGATACTCAGCTCGGCTTCTCCAAGGAGGTGCAGGAAGACCTCCCATCCGATCCAGGTTGGGTGCTGCAGTGGGTGGGGTACCACCCCCTCTGGCTGAAGCATATCTTGCCCGAAGCAGGTAGTGCTGGGCAGGCGTGAGGCCTGGAAGTGAGGATGCTCCATTTTCTGGTGGGGAGCCGGGGGGGAAAGGGGAGGCCAAGGAGGAGCGGCGGCTGACAGTATAGGCAGAGCTGATGCTGCTGGAGCTGCTGCTGCGGCGGTCAAGGGATACAGGGGGGCCCAGACGGCGTGACACAGGGGTACCTGCAAGTGACAGGGAGAAAAGGCAAGGCGGCCTTCTGAATCTCACTCTGCCTCCCTCATGTAACAGCCTTGTCCTGGAGTCCCAGGGATAAGTTTTTATCCCTAAACACTCAGTTCTATGTCCTACTTCTCCCCATACCTATTCTACTGCTGGTCACCAGAACAGTCAGAACAGTGGTGACAAGTCATAGAGGTTGTGTGCTACACAACCCTAGGGAACAGCCTTTACATCACAGACTCGTGGATTTGTATATCAACAATTCATTCATTCATTCCTCCCTTCCTTCCCTCCCTCTCTCCCTCCCTCCTCTTTCTTTTTTTTTTTTTAGTGTTGGCCAGGGCTGGGCTTAAACCCACCACCACCAGTATGTGGGGCCAGCGCCCTATTCCTTGAGCCACAGGAGCCATCCCCTCTTCCTTTTTTGACAATCTTACTTTGTCACCTGGTAAAGTGTGCTATGGCATCATAGCTCACAGCAACCTCAAACACTTGGGCTTGAGCAATCCTCTTACCTCAGCCTCCCGAATAGCTGGGACTACAGGTGCCTACCATGATGCCTGATTAATTTTTCTATTTTTGGTAAAGATGGGGTCTTGCTCTTACTCAGGCTGGTCTTGAACTGACCTCAAGCAATCCTCCTTCCTTAGTCTCCCAGAGTGCTAAGATTACTGGTTGGTTGTTGGGCCACCAAGCCCCAACAACTATTTTCTGATAAACGGAAAGGGGACCTAATTCTAACTGTAAAATGGTGGCATATGGCAGCCTTGAAGGGTGGCCTCCTCTTCTCTCCCCCCTTTTTTTTTTTTTAGAGACAGATTCTTCCTTTGTTGCCCTCAGTAGAGGGCCGTGGCATCATAGCTTACAGCAATCTCCAGCTCTTGGGCTTAGGCGATTCTCTCGCCTCAGCCTCCCAAGTAGCTGGGACCACAGGCACTGGCCACAACGCCCGACTATTTTTTGTTGCAGTTTGGCTAGGGCTGGGTTCGAACCTGCCACCCTTGGTATATGGGGCTAGCGCCCTACTCACTGAGCCATAGGCACTGCCCTGGCCTCCTCTTCTCAACCTCAGGGCCTATCCAGATTTCAGCCCAGCAAGACCTCCCATACCCAGGTCTCACCAGTGTGGGACAAGCTGGGCAGTTTTAATCCCCGGGTTCCTATGGGCCGAAATTGATGCAGCTGGTCCAGTCTGAGGTTCTCAAGGCGGTGAAGAGTAGACAGACCGGTGCTGCTGATACAAGGCCCCTCATCCAGGCTGGACAGGTCCTCTGTGCTGCCGCCTGCATTGCCAGTCATTTCTACACCACTGTCTGTATTGGCTGCACTGCCTGCCGGGGAGTGGTCACTGCTGCAGGATGACTGGGCCCCAGGGCTGGGCTGTGGCTTCTGTGGAGAAGATGAGGGCTGAGGACAGCTCCTTTCCCCACTCCCTTCCCCATAGCTCCCCCTATTTGAGGAGTAGCTGAAGCCTGAGTCCCAGAGAATGCTGGAGCCAGTGGAGGCTTATAAGTATGGAAAGGGCTAAGCAGGTAAGAGACGGGGCAAACCAGAAGATAGATGTTTGAGAAGAGCCATAAACTGCCTGGGTTCAAATTCTTGTTCTTAGTTCTATGACTGAGCAATTTCTCTATGCCTGAGTTTCCACATCTGAAAATGAGGAGAATGAGTCCTTTTCTCATGAAGTTGATGTGAGGAATATGTGAAATTATACTGTGTACATGTAAAAAGCTTAGAACAATACATTAAGTGCTATTTAATATTTAAGAGTTTTTGAACCTATTAAATAATTTTTTTTTTTTTAGCAGTTCCTGGCTGGGTTCAAACCTGCCACCGTTGGTGCACGGGGCCAGCACTCTAACCATTGAGCTATGGGTGCCCAGCCAATTTTTTTTTTTTTTGAGTTAGTCTCACTTTGTTGCCCTCAGTAGAGTGTTGTGGCATCATAGCTTACAGCAACCTCAAACTCTTGGGCTCAAGTGATTCTCTTGCCTCAGCCTCCCAAGTAGCTAGGACTACAGGTGCCCACCACAACGCTTGGCTATTTTTAGAGGTGGGGAGTCTTGCTCTGGCTCAGGCTAGTCTTGAACCTGTGAGTTCAGGCAATCCACCTGCCTCAGCCTCCCAGAGTGCTAGGATTACAGGCATGAGCCACTGCACCTAGCTGAACCTATTCATTAATAATACTAAAATCCCTAGATTTTGAGTAGATCAAAGAGCACCACTGGGATGAGAAAAAGGAGGATTGGCAACAGAAGAGTGCTTGACATAGGAGGGGATGGATGAGTGGGAAGGAACTATAAAGACTTCAGCAAGAAAGGCTGGGGTACAGAGACGGAGTTGCCTGGGCTGTCTCACCACGGCACCCTCTGGCACAGCCAATCTGCTCTCCTCCCTGATGAGGCCTCCTTCTCGCTCCCTCTTTGGTTCCACTGTGGAAAGGGAAGGTGCCCGGGGCAGGGGGCCATCCCCACGGTGCCGCTTGGTCACATGGGCATCAGGACCATGCACTGTCTTGACATGTTTTCGGAGTGAGCTGGGATCTGTGTAGCGTTTGGTGCAGCCAGGGAGCTTACACACGTATGGCTTCTGTTGAGTAGAGTGAAAACAGAAAGCAAAGTGATCAAAGCAGAGAATGCAGAAGGAATGGGAAGGAATGTCAGTGATGAGGCGGGTAAGGGAGGAACACATGGTGCCCAAGAAAGGAAGGAGGGTGGGGGCCATTGGGTGGGAGTAAAAGATGAAGGGATCAGGGGAGGAGTAGGAAGACAGCCCAGGCCTAGGAAAAATGAGGAGGTGATTTTGTGGGAAGGTCAGGGTCTTCTACAGACTGAGACTGTTTTAGGTTTGCCCTTTGGCTAGAGGTAGGAGAGGTGGC